AGAGAGAGAGAGAGAGAGAGAGAGAGAGACAGAGACAGAGACAGAGACAGAGACAGAGACAGAGACAGAGACAGAGAAAGCGAGAATGAAAGCCCGAGTGTCGTTTTCGCACTCCTATCGGTGACGGCTGCTGAAGAACGTGAGATTAACACTGCAAGTCTGAAAGAACAAGACTAAAATAATATTTCGTGCAAAACCGCAACAACAATAAACAGAAACCAAAAAGCCCCAATAGAGAAAGACGGGGAGGGCGAGACTGAGAGAGAGCGAAAAAGAGAGAGAGAGAGAGAGAGAGAGAGAGAGAGAGAGAGAGAGAGAGAGAGAGAGAGAGAGAGAGAGAGAGAGAGAGAGAGTGAGTGAGAGAGAGAGCTACTGAGAGAGAGAAAGTCTGCCTGTGTGTATGTGTGTGTGTGTGTGTGTGTGTGTGTGTGTGTGTGTGTGTGTGTGTGTGTGTGTGTGTGTGTTTACGTGTGTGTGTGAGGGAGAGAGTATGAGTGTGTGTGTGTGCGTTTATGTGCGCACGCGCTCCTGTGTTTGTGAAAGAGAGAGAGAGAGAGAGAGAGAGAGAGAGAGAGAGAGAGAGAGAGAGAGTGGGGAGGAATAAAGAAAATGTTGTGTGAGTCTCTCAGAGACACAAATCTGAACAGAAACAAAAACGGATAGGTATGCAAAGAAGAAAGAAAAAGTAGAAATGAAAACTAGCATTAATAAACGGGAAACAGGAATAAGCCAAAAGGTTATGAAGCAATGAACAAACGTAGGTAAACAAGTAACATTAATGAATGAATGAAATGAATGAACGACTGAATCAATCAATCAGTCAATCAAATGATCCGTGAATGAAAGAAAGACGTATGAATGGAAAAGCTTAAATGAAATCATGCAATGTTTTAAAGAACTCAAAACATGCCATGGAAGCGCACTAAATAACGCCGACAGTTTTTTAAATCTGTTTTGAGGATGTTGATTTTTAACAAAGATTGATGCGCATACATGACGTAATATCTTAAAATCTGATATAATACTTAACATAAGTCTCCAGAAGATCGAAGTAGCGTAGTTTGTAGTCAACGTCCTTCCAACAATAATAAAAAAAAACGTTGGTGGTAGCTTCCCCTGAATTGGGCAGAAGACAAGGCCTGATCAGTGGGGGTGACTAAATACCCGGAGAGAGATGGCGTCTTGGTGATGGAGCCCACTCCGAGGCGGGGGATGTCTTTCTCCCTTCCAGGGGGGAGGGCTAAAGGTGGGGGGGGGGAACGACAGAAGGGAGGGAGGAGGGGGAGGGAGAGGAGGAGGGGGGATGCCAGTCAATACAATTTGTGTTTAGCGGGGCGAGGGGCCCATTTCGCCCGGGCGCGGACGCCGATGGGGCGGTGAGGCGGCCGGCGAGACAGTCGGGTAGAGCTAACGGGTGGGGAAAGACAGAGCAAAAACGATATTAGAGGGGGAAGGGGGGAGCTATTACAAAAGGCGAGGGGGGGGGGGAGGTTGTTAGGGGTTGGGAGATGTTGGTTTTCGGCGGGTGATGGGTTGGGGGAGGGTGATTGTGTGAGTGTGTCTTGGAGGGGGGGGGGACCTGTTAGGCTTTGAGAGATGTGGGGTTTTCGGTGGGAGGGACCCAGGGAAGAGGGAGATTTTTTTTTTATTGTTGTCCCTTTTTCTGTTATTTAAAGATGTGTTCAAAATTCCATTTATTTGCGTAGCAGTTTGTCTATTCACATGTCATAAAATAATTTTATATTCTTTCATTTAGTTATCTACTTTAACTTATTTATCCAAGGATTCATTTATTCGGTTTTCAACAATCTTTCGTTGTTTTAATTTTGGTTTATTTTTTTCTAGGTTAGTGGTTTGGGCGGGGGTTAGTGGAGGGGGAAGGGGTTTGTCTGTTGTTTCCGTAGGGGTTCTATTCTGTTTTGCCATAGTACACGTATCTTCCAAAAAGGTACAGATGAGTTCGAACTTTTCGAGTTCAAAACACGAACCATGGGCTTTTAGCATATTTGAATGCTCAAAGTGTCTATAATTCGGAATCGTTAGACGAGTTGCTAAAATATGTTTTTGATTGTTTTGCTTTGCATTTTTTCCAATGAAAAATGAGTTTTAAAAGCTCCATCTCACAGAACTGATCCTCCATTTTCCAATAGCACGCATGTAATTTGGTTGGGTCCAGATAAAAGCTTGTTTCTGGGGTTTGTGGTGTCGGTGGCCTACTGGTTAGACTCTCGAACTCGCAGCCTTAAGGTCGTGGGATCGAATTCCATGCAGGGCACGATGTTGTGTCCTTGGGAAAGGCACTTTACACGAATTTTCCTGTTGTTGTTGTTGTTATTGTAGTGTGTGTGTGTGTGTGTGTGTGTGTGTGTGTGTGTGTGTGTGTGTGTGTGTGCATGTGTGTGTGCGTGTGTGTGTGTGTGTGTGTGTGTGCATGTGTGTGTGCGTGTGTGTGTGTGTGTTGATTTGCTTTTGGGTTGTTGTTTTTTGTTTTTTATAATGATGGAATTTTTTTTTGGGGAGGGTTGGGGTTTTTTTTTGGGGGGGGGGGGGGGGAGGGCTTTCAAAACCAGGAGGGAGAGGGAAAACCGTCCTTCGCGCCAGAATATTCTAGTTTTACAATTTAGCAATAAAGAAATTGAACACGGAGGGGGGGGGGTGGGGGATTGTATATTCCCGAACAGAAGGTCCACAACTCAAATAGAAACAGGAGAGCGCGCGGCCCCGGGTGGGGCCGCAGCGAGGAATTAGTATATTAATAAGCGACGTTTTAAATA